GATTACTAACCAGTTTTGGTGTAGAAAGGAATAACTACGCGTGTCCTTTTAGGTACAAAATAAAACAAAGGAGACTTCAGGAACAATTGTTGCATTTTACCTGTTTGTTAATGTATCTACTCAACAAATATGTACCAAGGTTCTACAATGTATAAGACAATTAATGGGACTTCCCTGGTGGCTCAGATGGTAAAGAATCTGCCTGCAATGCAAAAGACCCAGGTTCGATTCCTGGGCCAGGAAGATGCCCTGAAGAAGGGAATGGCTACCCACTCCAGTGTATACTCTTCTGATGAATTCCATGGACAGAGGAGTTTATGGGCTACAGTCCATGGGGGTCTCAAAGAGTCGGACGCAACTGAGCAACTAAAACTGTTGTTTGTTAATGTATTTATTCAACAAATATTTACTAAGTTCTACAATGTATAAGACAATTAGTAGCCGGATAGACCCAGGCCCCAACTTCTTAATGCTTAACTTATTTCATCTTTAAAGCACTCTCTCATATTAAGGTTCCTTAATACTTCTCTACTGCAGAGTTTCTCAAATTTGTACTATGGACAACCACCAAAATGTCTCCAGATATTACCACACATTCCCTTGGGGACAAAATCAACTCACAATGAAAATCATTGCTCTATTCAAACAAAAAGAGAGAACTATGCTTTTCACTTTAAATAATGTTGGTTGGTTGTGGTTTTTTTTTTCAGGAAATTAATATGTGATACAGTATTATTAACTAACGCACAGATTTTGCTCAAATTTCACAAAATTTTATGCTTGAGTCCATAGTTTTCATACCTTATTCAAGATTCCACGTTATATTTAGCTGTATTGAACAGCTTCAGCTCCATGCAACAAATTCTGATAAATCTTTTTTCATTTTTATTCTGCTACAAATATTTTCTAATTTTCCTCATTAGGGCTTCTTAGATACACCCATCATTTAAAACTGGACATTTAATTTTCAAAAATAAAAGGTGTTTAAAGCATCTTTGATATTAATTTATCATTTTGAGAAGTTTCTTGAAAAATTTGATAAATTTAACTTCTCACTTAAATGCTTTCTTCTCTTCAATCACCCTCTGTGATTTTTCAGTCTTTTAACTTTATTGAGGCTTTCAAAGGCTAAGTCAAAGATCTCTCTTGGTAAATGTCACACTGCACTTGAAAATATGTAGGTTATTTTCAAATATCTTTTGATACTGATTCCTAGCATAATTCGACAGAACCGATTCTGTATGATTTCAAAAGCTTTAGAGCATGAAATTTTTACAACTTATTTTATGTCCCTATGTTCCAGTGTCTCCTGGTTTACAGTCTATGGGAACACTGGAATAGAATTTGTATTCTGCTTTTGTGTGAAAACTGTATAAATCTTAATTATGTTGAATTGATTCATAGTGCTTTTCAGGTCTACTATATCCTTCTACTTTTCTGTTTATTCATTCTATTAATTTTCAAGAGCTTAATATTGAAACTCCAACTAAAAATCTTTATTTACTTAAAAAAATTGAAATATATAGTAGAACTATATGTAACTTTTTTTTGTATTTTCCAAGTCTCCCATAAATGTGTTATCATAATTTCATGATATAAAAAATTAAAAATAAATAATGCTGTTTTAAAAAATATTTAGCTGAATTTGAATTTAATACTATTTCTAAAGATAACCAAAATCTGAGTAAAAAATAAAATAAAATTCTATCATTTTGATACTTCGTAAAATGTCAATGTTACTTAATAGCTTGATATTTGTTATATAGTCCAAATACTTAGATGATTGAATATTCCATTTTTAAGTAGAAAAGTAGTAAGTTTTCTTTTGAAATGTAATGTTTCACATAATTGTTTAAAAAGATACATCTATTTAATTTATTTTCCAAAATCCCACAGTAGCTTAACTGTTGTAAATCAAAGTATGTATATCATAAACATGAACTGCTCTATAATGCAAAATCCCTACACTGCATTCAAATTATTTTATTCAATTTATTTGAATCTGGACAGACTGTGAGTAATCATATCATAAAGATTTGTCAGTTCTGATTGAGTAACCAACCCATCTTTCCAAATGTGAACCCAGCTTTATAGTGGTGGAAAAATATAGCTTTCAGATTTTGCATAACATGTATCAAAAAGCTCATAAGATTTTTTAAACATCAGATAAGTGTTTCTGAAAACTGAATGTAAGTTATTTAACTGAATCTAAGGTATATAACTTTCAAGTAACAAAAGTGGGAAATTAATAAAAATAAAATTTTAAGAAAATAGAAATTACATTCTGCAATTCAAAACAAAGCATAATTTTTCATCCACTTTTTTCCATCCTTTTAAAGGTTAATTACAATGTAATCTGTTTTTTTTTTTTTATATAGACGAAGCATTATATTTTTAATTTTACCTTTAGTATTAGTCACTCAGTTGTGTCTGACTCTTTGTGACCCCGTGGTGGGTAGCCCTCCAGGCTCCTCTGTCCGTGGAATCTCCAGGCAAAAAATACTGGAGTGAGTTGCCATGTTCTTCTCCAGGGGATCTTCCCCACCCAGGAATCAAACCCAGGTTTCCTGCATTGCAGGTGATTTCTTTATCATCTGAGCCACCAGGGAAGCCCAATTTTTTCTTTTTTTCCTTAAGCTTTCTAAAGTGGTTATACTCTTCAGCCTTTCTCTGTTTAAAGTGAAATCTATTTTGAAATCAGGCATTGTTTAATTCTTCCGCTACATGCTAATACAAAACAAAGTTAACCTCTTAGTAGGCAACTTCAGTTTTATAAATGTATTGGCTGATGAGCATCCTTACAACTTCCCTATGAAAATCAATCTCAAATTACTGATTTAGAAGCAATGTCTATTTACCTCAGTGAGATAAGATCGTAATTAGAATCTAACCAGCCAAAAGGATAATTAGATATCATAATTTATTTCTTTTAACTTAAAAGTGATTCCTGGCATAATGCAACAAAGAAAATCCACAATGGATTTTCAAGAACTCTAATTTCAGGATGTGTATTGAAATTGGTCTTCATAGATAATTTATGTGCATTATTTTCTTATGCTCTTATTATCTTATGTAGCCAAGGAGGGACAGGTGATCAAGAGGGATATTGTTAAACAGGATCAGTTCATTATCTGATCCATTCTGCTTTGGCAGTTGTATGATTCTATGGCTATCATTTACTGTAAATTAGGGAGAGAATGACTACCGCAAACCACACTGTATTCACAAACTGGGTACAAAGCTGTTATCTATAAACTTATACTATTTGAGAAGGCACTAACATAAATTGCATGTTATTAAGCATGTAGTGTCCATGGTACATGAGCAGAGAAGCAAAAGGCAAAGGAGAAAAGGAAAAATATTCCCATTTGAATGCAGAGTTCCAAAAAATAGCATGGAGACATAAGAAAGCCTTCCTCAGCTATCAATGCAAAGAAATAGAGGGAAACGATAGAATGGAAAAGACTAGAGATCTTTTCAAGAAAATTAGTGCTACTAAGGGAACATTTCATGCAAAGGTGAACACAATAAAGGATAGAAATGGTATGGACCTAACAGAAGCAGAAGATATTAAGAAGAGGTGGCAAGAATACACAAAAGAACTATACAAAAAAGATCATGACCCAGATAACTACAATGGTGTGATCACTCATCTAGAGGTAAACATCCTGGAATGTGAAATCAAGTGGCTTTGACTTCAAGGCCTCCAAGTTCGTAAGAAGCACCACTATGAACAAAGCTACTGGAGGTGATGGAATTCCAGTTGAGCTATTTCAAATCCTAAAAGATGATGCTGTGAAAGTGCTGCACTCAATATGCCAGCGAATTTGGAAAACTCAGCAGTGGCCACAGGACTGGAAAAGGTCAGTTTTCATTCAAACCCCAAAAAAAGGCAATGCCAAAGAATGTTTAAAGTACTACACAAAGTAATGCTCAAAATTCTCCAAGCCAGGCTTCAACAGTACATGAACTGCAAACTTTGAGATGTTCAAGCTGGATTTAGAAAAGGCAGAGGAACCAGAGATCAAATTGCCAACATCTGCTGGATCACTGAAAATGATAGACAGTTCCAGAAAAACATCTACCTCTGCTTTATTGACTATGCCAAAGCCTTTGACTGTGTGGATCACAACAAACTGTGGAAAATTCTTCAAGAAATGGGAATACCAGACCACCTGACCTGCCTCCTGAGAAATCTGTATGCAGTTCAAGAAGCAACAGTTAGAACTGGACGTGGAACAGACTGGTTCCAAATAGGGAAAGGAGTTTGTCAAGGTTGTATATTGTCACCCTGCTTATTTAATTTATATGCAGATTATATCATGCGAATTGCTGGGTTGGATAAAGCACAAGCTGGAATCAAGATTGCCGGGAGAAATATTAATAACCTCAGATATGCAGATGATATCACTCTTATGGCAGAAAGTGAAGAAGAACTAAAGAGCCTCTTGATGAAAGTGAAAGGAGAGAGTGAAAAAGTTGGCTTAACACTCAACATTCAGAAAACTAAGATCATGGTATCCAGTCCCATCATTTCATGGCAAATAGATGGGGAAACAATGGAAACAGTGACAGACTTTATTTTCCTGGGCTCCAAAATCACTGCAGATAGTGACTGCAGCCATGAAATCAAAAGATGCTTGCTCCTTGGAAGAAAAGCTGTGACTATAGACAGCCTATTAAAAAGCAGAGACATTACTTTGTCAACAAAAGTCCATCTAGTCAAAGCTATGGTTTTTCCAGTAGTCATGTATGGATGTAAGAGTTGGACTATAAAGAAAGCTGAGCACTGAAGAATTGATGCTTTTGTTTTTTGTTTTTTTTTTTTTTTTTTTTTTTAGAAATGGACAGAGCTTTATAAATATTCATATAAAACCAGCAGGGGTACTTCATATTTCAATAATTCAATAACGATTCATAAAAAGCATTTGTCTTTAATTTTTGTTGGTTTTAAGAAACAAATGGTAAAATATATACACCATGGAGTCTGAATAGTCCCATCATAGAGCATGAATGATGGTCCGGTTGCGAAGCTCCTGGATATACTCTTTGGCGTGGGTTACTGCTGTCTTTGGTGCCTCAGGTGGAGGTGGAGGGCCTTCCACCAACTTCAGAAAATAATGGCAAAAAACCTTCTCCATAATCCCAAAGCGACCTCTGCCGTGGTATCGGATGCGTTTCAGGTATTGGCCCCGCCCTGAGGTGGACTCAGCTATATATAAATTGGATCTGAATTCCACATTGTGGTCTCTTACTGCCATATCTTGTGCTTCTAAGAGAACCTCTTTAATTATCTGGGCTCCTTTTTTGTCACTGAATTCCAATTGAGCCAGAGCCTGGTCAATTGACATTCCTCGTATCAATTTCGCCAAATACCACATCTTGTCTTTGCTGTACTTTGTCTTCGACAATGGTATATTTCAGCTGGTCTCCGAGGTTCTCCAGGCAGTTGTGGAGGATAAACAATTTTATTCTTCTTCTCCCATTTTCGAGATATTTCAAGAGAAGCACTTGTGTGGATATGTGATTGAGGTAAAATGCCCAAGGCCAGCTTCCCCCTGAGATTCTGCACCCATAACGCACCCAAACTTTCCAGTATAACCGCCGCCATTTTTCCTCCCTCCGTCTACGGAAGCCTTTGAGTTCAGAACCGAATTGATGCTTTTGAACTGTGGTGTTGGAGAAGACTCTTGAGAGTCCCTTGGACTGCAAGGAGATCCAACCAGTCCATCCTAAAGGAAATCAGTCTTGAATATTCATTGGAAGGACTGATGCTGAAGCTGAAACCCCAATACTTCGGCCACCTAACGCGATGAACTGACTCATTGGAAAAGACCCTGATGCTGGGAAAGACAGGAGGAGAAGGGTCAACAGAGGATAAGATGGTTGGATGGTATCACCGACTCAATGGACACGAGTTTGAATAAGCTTCCGGAGTCGCTAAAGGACAGGGAAGCCTGGTGTGATTCAGTCCAGGGGGTTGGAAAGAGTCGGACACCACTGAGTGACTGAACTGACTGAGCTGAGCCACGGTACACACGAACAGGAACACAACGGCATGTTCTTAACCATCATGCTGTGTTTCTTTCTTTCCTGGTCTCGTGAAATAAGATTCTGATATTTTATATTCATATTTTATGCATTTTTTAAGAGTGAGGATGTCAGCACTGGTTACAATAGTAACATTTACCTATTGATATTTCTGTCTGCCCTTGGAAGCATATACAGAGTATTCTTGTCTTTGATGTTGATGTCTGCAAAGATCCCTAGTAACTGGCAAAAAGAACAAATTCTTGGCAAAAAGGACAGTTTAGAGTAGTAAAACAGATAGAAACTTTTTGTTAGAAAGGCTGTGATTCAATCTTGGCTTCCTTACTTAGCAGATGGTCAACTTATTGACTCCATGGAGACTTCCTTTTATTATTTGTAAATGAGAACATTCTACTTTGCCTCATCCTTTTGTTAAGATGAATTGAATCTGCCCCAATTATTATTATAATATTATTATGGCTATTTACAGTTCTTTATCTAGCTATTATTATTACTGTTGTTTTTGTTCAGTCGCTAACTCATGCCCTACTCTGTCACCCCATGGACTGCAGCACACCAGGCTTCCCCGTCCTTCACCATCTCCTGGAGCTTGCTCAAACTCTTGTCCATTGTGTGGATGATGCCATCCAACCATTTCATCCAAGTTAAGATTTATTATTGAAGGTTTATTTATTTCCATAAATATTTATTATGATAAAGGAAGATTTCATAAAGGAGATACATATAGCTTGTAGCTACAGAAGATTAGGGAGTAGGGGAAAAATAGCATCTTAGGGACCAGAGACAAGGCAGTGTTCACAGTACACATGGAAGACAGATTACAAAAAAAAAAAAAAAATAGAAGCTTATCCGCATTGCATCAGATACACAAACCACTTTCCTATTCAAGGTTGCCTGACATAGTCTCCCCTCCAGCTTTAAGAGTGATTAGGAGTCAACCTCAAGTGTTGCTCCTTCACAATATGTTCTCTTCAAGAACAGATAGAGAGATCTTTTTAAAAACATAAATCAAATTATATTACTCCCGAGTTAAAATCTTATAATGGTTTTCTATCACAGTTAAAGAAACTCCAACCTCCATGCCCTGCCTGTGAGGCAGTATGTGATCTAGCCCCACTATTTTTTCCCATCTCCTCTCACTTCTCTGGGAATTCCCTGGTGTTCCAGTGATGAAGAGCTTCGCTTCCCCTGCAGGGGGCATGGGTTTGCTCCCTAGTTGAGGAACTAAGACCCCCACATGCCACACAGCACGGCCCTCCCCCCCCAAAATGGCCTTCTCACACCTCTTCTGCCCCCTCACACTAGAATCTAGCCATGAGTATCTTTATTTCAGCTTCTCAAGCATCAAGTTTATTCCCTCAGAGCCTCTGCACTCTCTGCCTGGAGTTTTCTGTACAGATAATTATATAACAACCACATATGATCATTCAGATCTCAACTAAAAAGTCACCTCCACAGGGAGACTTATCATTTCCTAATGATTTTCATTATTTGTAATGTACTTGTTTATAGTCCATTTCACATCACTATAAAGCCAGGAGGGCATAGGGACTTTTTAAAAACCACATTCCTTTGTAGTGGGAGGGGACAAAGTATGTTGCTGATTCACTTTGTTTAGGTCTGGGACAATTTCAAAACACAGCAAAATATTTTACATTTCTATTATTTGTTTCAAACTTTTTTGACCCACAAAATGCAAAGAAGAAACACAACAACCTCTTTGAGCCAATTATTTGTATTTTCCAGTTCTTGGAGCTTAACCAACATTTTTAGATATCCACATCCAGAACATTTTAGTCTAGTTACAATGTACAGTATTTTGAAAATTATTGGTCAAATACTGAAGGTATGTATACAAGGATAGGTCATATAATTAAAATAAACAACAACCAAGAAAAAAAAATCCACAAATTGAGAACTGCTTTTCCTGTAGTAGAAAGCAACATCATAACTTATTACTTAGAGAGAAAGGTGTCTTATTACAAAACCTATAACTCACTTCCTTTGCAACATTAACTGCAAAGAGTTTTATTTCAGCACATGTTACAACACCCTCTAATTCACAAATCCTGTTCAGGTTAATAGAAAAGAAGGTTTGAAATTCCATGATTATGACTGAGCAGTCTTTCTTCAGATATTGCCTGTTTGACTATCTTAAATTGGATTTACTGTAACGACTGAAAATATGACATGGTAGGATCTTTGTTCTTATGGCCCAGGACTTTAATTTAACTGTGTAGCTTTGACACGTCATTTTACTGCTTTGAAGCAAAGAGGACAAGTGAAGCCATTTAAAAAGAAAGAGAAGAAGAAAAAAAAACCCTAGGAGTTAACTTGTAGTAATAAAGTGAGGAAGAAATTTTTTCGTTTATTCTGTCCTTAGGCCTGTCTATCCTCACATCATCACATTTTCAGGAAGAAAGATTGGCTGAAAGCTGGCTCCAACTAAATCCTTTTTAGTGCTGTTTCATTGAAGGACTGGAAAGTGACAATTCCTATCAAGCAGCTGGTTTTTTCTTCCCTTGCCAGACTCCAGGGCATTCATATTAAACTGAGAAAAACCACAACTCAATCCTTGGTCTTCCACTTAATTTTTCATACAAATTTAAGGTCAGACTGTGGCCTAGCAACCAGTGAGGTGCTTGTAACACGTGAAAAGTTACATATCAGACTGCTCCTCTGAATATGGTCACCACATTACCTGACAATTAGAGAATGTTTCTAAGATGCTAGTAGAGAAATTATTTGGTTCAAAGATGAGTTTTGAATGCTGCACTAATTCTTCTAAGTTAGTTTTTACTTCCTGTGGATTGTGAAGTTTTGCCAGTAAGCAGAGTTGAAAAGTTTAAATTTATTTTTGTAAAAGCATGCATTTCTTTTTCAAACATTAATAATTACAATTAAATAACCTATCATAGATAATTATAGGCAAGTTATGAAGCCTGGTGGGCTACAGTCCATGGGGTCTCAAAGAATCAGACACAACTGAGTAACCAACATTTACTTATAGATATTTAGTGAATAAGAAAATAGCAGGAGAACTATGTATGTTCTCGAACCTGGAATTTCCATTTAAAAGCAAACTATTGTGTTATTTCTGTTCCTTTTATTTGCTGACGCACATGCTTATTATTTTTTAGTAATTGAATAAAAATGGTCCGTGTGTTGTATGACATTTTTCTTCGGGAAACATTCATTACTTGCTTACATTTTTGATAGAACCTCAAATACTTTGATATTTTTCAACTTGATAATTCTTGTTCCAATTACTCATCTGAAGGGAAACGCAAATATTAAACTACGTTCGTTATGAGTCAGCTCTTAAGTTGCTCTCAAGTCTTTCGGTTAACATCTTCTATGAATTGACCATGTGATGCCTTAGAAAGTCCTGAACTCTATGTTTTTCTGATGACTAGATTGGCCCCTCAGTAACATTTGCTCATCATCAATATTCTATGAATGAGGTGGCATTTCATTGGAAGAAGCAGATTGAAAACTTGTGTCTCCTATTCTGTCACATCTGGGTAAAGCTCCCAATGCTATTGTTTTTACTTTCTTTTAATCTCACAAAGAAATGTTAAAATTGAAGGACTGACCCTGTGTTCAAAGTTATTGTCAGAAACAGTGAAGTCATAGGCTTCTGCTTTTAATAATCCCTCACAAAACACAGAGCATCGTTAATCATAAATGACTGCAGATTCCCTAGATCCTGGCATTGCTCTGGGGCCTGAGCATTTTTAAGTGTCTTATAAATTTGATCAGACAACAGCCTCATGGCATTGCATAAAAATTTGGCTGTGATGGAAAGATGAAACAACAGTTGAAAGCATTAAAATACTTAGAAACCGAAGATAGCTTTATTACATTTCAATAAAATATAAGTCTAATTTTCAAGTACTCTTCAACTTTCATGTTTCACTGACATATCAATCAACAACTATTTATTGAGTGAATACAATGTGTTCAGCACCATTAAGCACTCTAGGGAATACAGAGACTTATGAGAAATTTATTCATTCATGAAAAACTGTTTTCAGCATCTGAGTGCAAGCTTCTGTCCTGAGTGCTTTGGAAATACTCTGGGCTTCTTGAAGATGGTGAAGTGAAGTCACTGTTGTGTCCGACTCTTTGTGACCCCATGGACTGTAGCCTACTAGGCTCCTCCGTCTATGGGATTTTTCAGGCAATAATATTGAAGGGGGCTGCCATTTCCTTCTCCAGGAGATCTTCCCAACCCAGGGATTGAACCTGGGTCTCCCGCATTGGAGGCAGATGCTTTACCATCTGAGCCACCAGGAAAGTCCCCATAAGGTAGACATAATTCCTTTCT